AATTTATATTATTAATTTGTAAAAAACAGGTCATGAAAGCAGCGACAGCAACACCAGTGTCATGACGCCACCTCCTTCAAAGAAGGTGGCACGGACAAAACGATTTTGCGATTCGTGGCTAGCAGAACCCGATTTTTCTTCGTGGCTCCAGAAATGCGAGGGCAACCCGTTTAAGGCGTTCTGTACTGCCTGCCAAAAAGAATTGCAGTGCGGCAAATTAGAGCTGAGGATTCACGCCAGCGGTCAATCGCACATTATCCTGTTGCGCAACGGAGGAGACTTGACGGACACGGACAGCGCTGCGTGGCTGGCTTCTGCATCCCTAAATGAACGTATGAAAAGAGCCGAGATCATCCACGTTCTGAATATCATAGAACACAGCAGAAGCTTCCTCTCGTATAATCACCATACGAGAATGCAGCTCAGGGCTGTGGATTCACTGGACATTCTAAAAGAAATGAAATTGAAGCATCAAAAAGTTGCAGCCACCACGAAGAACGTGATCAACGAAGCCATCGTGAGGAATGTCACTGAAATATTAAAGTAATGCATGTAAGAAGTTACCGGAGCACGTGGAACAATTATTATATTCATTGTACAACTACTTCGTTGCAAGCCCTAAAAGACAGCAAGGTTTGGAAGACATACAGGAGATAATGAACATGACGAAACAGAAGCTCCTTCAACCATCGAGAACAAGGTGGCTAGCACTGTCACAATGTGTCGAAAGAGTTCTGAATCAATGGAATGCTCTTTACACATATTTCGCTGTAGAATCGTGTACAATGGCAAATCCATTATTTCCCGGGATGTCCCTGGAGGAAAGCATATTTCACAGGATGAACTATCCATTAACGAAGGTGTACTTGCAGTTTTTCAGTTACATCCTTCGGAAGTCCGCCAATTTGAACGCTCGTCTCCAAACGAACGACATACTATTACACTCTTTATATTTAGAATGTGCAGACTTTCTATTAGCGTTAGCAACCAATTTTATGCAACCTGAAGTTGTAACAAGGAACGACTTACATTCAGTAGATCCGTATAATGCACAATATTTATCACCAACGGATCAAATTAACATCGGGCAAAATGCACGTGATATTGTTTCTGAATTCACCTCATCAACGGAGGAAGAGAAAGAAGAAAAAATAACAGCGTTCTACAGTAATTGTTTACAATATTATTAAGAGCTTTTTCAACAAACAGTTAAAAGACTGCCGTTCCAGGACAACTCCATACGCGACTTGTCTTTTCTCAAACCAAAAAATGCTCTGCAAAAGCACAAAAGCTTCGGACAATTAGATTCGATATTTAGAAAATTCAATTCCAAAATTGAGGAAATGGATGTCATGAATGAGTGGCATAAGCTCGGACGGCTCATTGAACAAAATGAGGAGGACGATCTGTCTGAATTACAGCCACTACAATTTTGGAGGAAAATACACAATGAACAAATGGTTCCCAACATTTCAAAATTGGCGAATATGTGTCTATGTATTCCGCATTTGAATGCAGAAATAGAACGTTTCTTTTCAATGGTCCATGAGGTACAGACTTTCGATAGGAATTGTTTACATCCTAACACTGTCGCTGCAATTACAAGGACAAAATTGCACTTAAAAACACTCAAAAAACGTGCATGGACTATCCAGTTACAATCGACATGTGGAAATTATTCAATTCGACAATGTATAAGAAAGAATATATCACACGTAATTATACAAGATGAAACAGAGGACAGTGACAGTACAAATACTGATGCTGAATAAATATCTTTTTAAACAAATAAAATTACATTTCTTTTATTATTTACCTCTCCCGAATAGATTCAATTTGAAATTTAGAAACACGAAAAGCATACATTATTTCTCATACATTTCTACTTTTCAAATATATACATGTATATAAATTATATTCATTACATTTACTTTCGCTCTTCATAATAATTCATTTCGTCCGATTCAAATTCAGAAATCACTAGGACGAAATGTTATGCAGGTAGCGCTGCGGAGAGCTTCGCGAACGCGCCATCTCCCTTGCTCGGGCTTTTCCCTCTTCCTCCGTGAGGGTTTTTATGCCGGAGCAAGGAATAGTCTCGACATTGACCACGACATCGCTGTGTTTTTTATTCCCCAGAATCCCGATGACTCATCCCTTTTTGCTTAATACGGCGAAACTATTTTCGAAACTTTCATGGACTGTATGTAGCCGATAGGAATTCTCCGGCTTTTTACTCTCAAGTCTCAGTTTGAATTAAATGAGACGAGG